CAATATGTAAACACAATATACTTTCAGTTTAATTTTTATTAACATTTTACAATGCTAACATTTTCTCCATCACTTTCTTAAGATAAACAATCAGCAAAACCAATGCTCACATTGAAAATATAACAGTTACCTAAATTGTCTCCAGGTCCCCTGAGGCTAACTCAGGATCAAAATCACCCAGGGAGAAAGTGGCAGAGCTGGTATTTGAACCTAGGTCTTCCACTTTGGCCTCTCTGCAACATGGCGTACTCAGAAAAGCAAGTGGGCCAGGCCTAACGACCCAGCAGGCGTCGGGCCAATGGCCAGGTGGGAGAAAGGATCCTCTCTCTCTACCATGCACGTTGGTGAGTGGGAGCCCTGGAAGAGTGAGGGCTGTGTCCTATTCCTATGTGCTGACCCTCAGACTGGCCAGGACATGGCTCTGCACATAGCTGCTGTTCAATCAAGATTCATTCAATTAAAAGGAGCAAATATTTAAGAGATCAGGATGTACTTGGCCCTGGGGCTACAAAACAAGCCTTTCAGTTCTTGCCCTCAGGAAGCTTATAGTCTTCTGGAGACGTGGCAAACATGTCCAGCCTCTCTATCGTCTTAAGACTCATCAAGCACTCCACAAACATCAACTCGTGTTATCCTCATAAACATCCTGTGAGGGAGGTACCATTGTGATCCCATTTTGAAGATCAGCAAAACTGAGTCAGACATAGGTTAAGTGACTGGCCCAGGGTCACATAGCTAGTAAGCGTCTGAGGTCACATTTGAGCTTAGATCTTCCTGACTCCAGGTCCAAGGCTCTGTCTCCTGAACCACCCACCAACTACCCGAACAAAACTTTCACATCAAAATCTAGATGAGGAAGGAGTGCATTCCCGGCACAAGTCCAGGTGCAAGGGCTAGATTGGTTAGTCCAAAGCATAGCTGGTGAGCCAGTATGGCAAGCATCAACAATACATGAATTCAATTCAATTCAATGTACATTGAGTGCTTGGATAGGACCAAGGAGAATAGTCCCTACTCTCCAGGAACTTACACTCTAATGAGGGAAGACAACCCAAAAGAAAGCTGGAGAGGAAAGGAGGAAATCACAGGGATCCTATTCAGATCCCTATTTTTGGTGTTAAGGAAAGGACACTCAGAGAGGTTAGTCCACATACCCAGGGACACTCACAATCAGAGCGATGTAGAATCATGGACTTAAAACTGGAAAGGGTCTTAGAAGGCAACTAGTCCAACTTCCTCATTTTCAAGATAAGGAAACTGAGGCCTGGATAGATGATGTGTGGCTAGGTTGCTCAGTGATTAGAGCCTGGAGTTAGGAAGATCTGAGTTCAAATCCTACCACAGACACATCATTGATGTGTAACTCTGAGTAAGTCACTTAACCCCTGCTTGCCTCAGTTTCTTCAACTGTAAAATGAGGTTAAGAACAGCACCTACTTCCCAGGATTGTAGTGAGGATCCAATGAGATCATGCTTGTAAAAGCACTGAGCACAGCATTTGGTGCATAATAGATACTTAAAAATTGATTATTACTATTGAGACAGTGGTGATTCAACCAAGGTTACTGGCTAGGAAGGAGCAGAATCGGGGTTGGGATTAGGGTCTTTTGCTCCACATTGGACCCTCCCACCATACCACATTTCCAATCTCAAAGTAGCATTTTAATGAAAGCAGGAGCCCTGAAACAGAAGGCAGAGCATGCTGGGGGTGAGAATCTGCTGAGAGACAGAAGACACACGTTTACCTGTACATCTTCAGTGGGGCCTCAGTGCTGCTCTCTTCCCAGGATGATTTTCTTTTCCTGTCAGTTCATATGTGATTTGCTTGGGGTCAGTATGCTACAATGGAATAACAATGACTCTGGGTTCAAATCCCACCTCTGACCCTGATCACATTCATGACTCTGAGTCATTCACTGAACCTCTCCGGCCTCAGTTTCCTCTTTCATAAAATAAGGGGTTAAACCAGAGGGCTCTTGGATCCTTAGCAGCTCTAAACCCATGATCCTGACTCCGAAAGCTCAGGTGGATGAAGAGAATCCACAATCAATAATCATTATTGTCATGAATCATTGTTATATTTCTATTAGTATTAATGCAGTATCAATCATATGACATCATGTTAGTATATTCATATTAATATACAATATTAGTTATATATCAATATTATGTGTGTATGTGTGTTTATATACATACATATATTATATATATACACATACATACACATATATATGTGTGTGTGTATATATATATCTCCAGACCTTCACCTGCTTGCCCTTTGTTTGACTTTTCTAGATATTTTAAAGGACTATTAGAGCCTTCTGGGTAAAATGGCAATGTCAGATATCATGGGGATCATGGCTCTGCCATATGTCCCCAGTAAAGACCTAAAAGGGCATGATTTTTGACCAAGGAGATAGAGCAATAAGTTCTTCATTCAGTCTAGGACTACCCAAGAAATGATCAGAAGCCACCAGTTACTCAGAGAGGAGTCACATATAGGCAAGTTTACATTTGATCCTGGATTTAATAAACAGTCTCTGAAGTTTATCTAGTAGGTCAGACTCATGCTTTAGAAAAATTTCTTTCACAGCGGCATGGAAGATGGCGTGGAATGGAATACAACTTTGACCAAGGAGAACAATTAGGTTACTGCAATCATCCACAGACTAAGTAAGAAGAGCCTGCCCTAGGGTGGTGTTAGGATGAGTGGAGAGCAGGAAATGCGTATGAGATGTTTTAGTAGAAATGACAAAATTTGTCAACTGATTAGATACATGGAGTGAGTGAGAACAAGGAGTCAAAAATGATCCTGAGTTCTTGAATTATTTGTAGGAGGATACTAATGCACTTGGTGGTAATTAGAATGTTATTAAGAGGGGAGCTTTAGGGGGAAAGCGATGAGTTGTATTTTGGACATGTTAGCATTAAGATGTCTGTGGGACATCCAGTTGGAAATATCTAAAAGTTAGAGTTGTGAAAATGGAGCTCAGGAGAGCAATTATGTGTGGATATATAGATCGGAGAATGATGAGCTTATAGATAATTGAATCTCACCATGTGAGATTATATACAAGGAAAAGAGAAGAGGGCCCAGGACTGAGACTTCAAAGGCTGCAGAAAAGCCAAGAAGGATGAAAATTAAGAAAAGACCATTACATTTAGCAGCTAGCTGATCATTACTAACATTAGTGAGGACCATTTCAGTCAAATGATGAGGTTAGAAACTGATAACAAAGGATTTAGAGAACATTCCAAAAGGCAAACGATAATGACTTCCAAAGAAGAATCATTTATCACTCAAAGCTAATTATCAGTCTGCAGGTGAAAACATGAACCATTTAAAATAGAAGAAAGGCCTTGGAAGCATTCCTGATGAACAAACCAAGTTTGGTAGAACCTTTGGCATACAAGACAAGAGAAAGCAGGAAATGTAGATACATGTGAGGAGTCGGGAGGGCCAAATGATGATGAAGTGTTTTCATTCTATCAAGAGAAGTGACAAGCGTCCTCTCAGAATCCCTCCATCTTCAAGGGCCCAGGAGAGATTGAAAGAAGACAAGCCCGAGGCCTGAGATGGTGTTGTTGGGGTTTTTTTTCTGCTCTGTTGATTTAAAAAAAGAAAAGAAAACGGAGGAGGAAATGAATATACTCAGGAACAAATGGAGAAGGCAATCTGAACCATCATCTACTTTCATGATCAGGATATGTAAGAAGATAGCAAGCAATGATGGGGAAGTGAGCATCTCATAAACGTCACTCTTTTCCGAACCAGGCAAAAGGATTAAACACATCTTTGGCATAGAAATGTCATTAAATTCAATAGGGAAACAGGGTCCGGGAAAGGAAACATGACAATGTAAGAGAAAGGGTAGACTCAGAGAAGGAATAGGCACGAGAAAAATAAATTGCAACTTTGGGTGGTAGATAATAAAAGCAGATTTAAAGGAAAGAAATAAAATGTAAAATCCAGTGATAATGACCTGGCTAGTTGAAGAGAGAAGAGGCAGCGGCTGCTGCAGGTATCAGTTACCAGTATTAATAGCATTCTTTCTTCTTCACCCCTTCTCTTTCTTTACAACAAAGAACAGGAGTAGAGAAGAAGAAAAGAGAATAAAAAATGAAAACACGATAGAAAGAAATACACAATTAAGGTAATACTGAATGTGAATGTGATGAGCTCGCCTCTAAAAGAGAAGAGTCCAGCAGAACGAATCAGAGAGCAGAATCCAATAATATGTAAGGGAAACACACTTGAAAAATAGAGATAAGTAGGGAAGCTACATTAAGCTAAAAATATCACAAACAATGATATAATATCGATTCTTAATATGTATTCACTAGATAGCATAGCAGCTAAATCCTTAAGGGAAGAAAGAGCTCATTTAGCTACAGGGAAAAATAAACAATAAAACTCCATTAGTTGAGAATGTTGGTATGTCCTTTCCAAAACTGGACAAATACCTTTCAAAAGATAAAAAGGAAAGGCAGCGAGGAGGTGCAGTGGATAGAGCACCAGCCCTGAAGTCAGGAGGACCTGAGTTCAAATCTGGCCTCAGACCAAACACTTGCCACTTACTAGCTGTGTGACCCTGGGCAAGTCATTTAACCCCAACTGCCTTAAAAAAAAAAAGCAAAGAATTTATAATTTTAGAAAATACATCTATAATAAATCTCTGGTAATGGCTGAATAGGAACCAAATGGAGTATAAATATTTCTCCACTGTATGTGGTGCCTTTCAACAAATGTGCAAAGTGTAAGTCATAAAACCTCATGAACAAATGCCAAAAGCAAAAAATAATTAAAAATGTTTTATCACACTGAAATGAATATTACAGTCAATGGAGGGCATTGGAATAAGAGGTCCAAACTAAAATGGAAAGTGAATTATTTCATCATAAAGGATATCAGTATAAAAGAACAAACCATAAAAACAAATAATTTCATCAAATGATAATAAAAAGCAACATCCAAAAACTTTGGGATTCCAACAAACCAGAGCTCAGGTGACATTTTATAGCCTTAAATGCCTTCATCAAAACGATGAAACGAAAGGAAGAGCTGATCAAAGAACAGGATGTGCAACTGAAAAAAAAAAAAGTAAAGCAACAAATTAAAAAAAAAAACAACTGAACACCAAAATAGAAAGTCAAAAAATCAAAGAGACAAAATTGAAAACAAACAAAAGAAATTAAATTGACAAGTGCAGCAAGACACTGAATTGGGGGGAGGGGGATAGAAATTAATAAAAAGGCAAAAAACTAGCTGATTTTACCCCCTCCCCACCCCCAAAGAAAGAAAAACTCAGATTGGCTAAATTAAACATGAAAAAGTAGAATTCACAACAAATTAAAGATATAAAAGAAATTAGTAGAAATAATTTTGCCTAATTATATGACTACAAAACTGATAACTGATTGAAATAAGTTAATATTTAAAAGGATGTGAATTATCCAGGTTACAAGCACAAAGAACATAATTTAAATAACCTAAGCTAGGTGGCACAATGGATAGAGCACTGGTCCTGGAGCAAGGAAGGCCCAAGTTCAAATCTAATCTGATTAGCTATGGAATCCTGGGCAAGTCACTTAACCCTGATTGCCCCATGTTCCTCATCCTGTCAAATGAGCTGGAGAAGTTAAATGGTAAACTCCAGTATCTTTGTCATGAAAACCCAAATGGGGTCACAAAGAGTCAGCCATGACTGATAAGACTGAGCAACCACAAGCTCAGAAAAAGAAATTGAAATCCGACAGAAAACAGAAGTCCAAAGTCAGATTGATTCACAAGTGAATTCTATCAAAACCAAACTATTACGTCAGTGAACTACAAAGAAATTACGGAGGGAAGACATCTTTTCAAACTTCTGTGAAGATAAGACGGGGGGGAACTAATATATTTAATGAATATCTATGTAAAACCATTGAATAAAACATTACTATAGTAATATGCCAACAAGGCATGTTCTACACGTAGACTTGATCTGTATAAAGAATTCAGAGTTCATTCAATATTAGGAAAACTATAAATGTATCATACATATTAACAAAAATAAACACAAGTTTCAATACATGCTGAAAAATTGACAAAGTACAATATAAAATGTCAAAATACTAAAAAGCAGAGGAGTAAGTAGACTTTCATTAATATGGTAAATATTATTTATCTAAAATCATGAGTTAGCACCATCTATAGAGGAAAAGCTATAGCCTTTTCCAATAAATCAGCTATAACTAAAAAATGTCCATTGTCACCACTATTACTTGATATAATCCTTAAAAAACTCTGGCTAAAATGATAAAAGAGAAAGAAATTGAAGGAATAAGATTAGGGAAAGAGGAGAAAAACTTCTCACTTTTGTATATGATATGACCTAGAGAATCCTAGGCATTAAACTAAGATTAATTGAAATAATAACTTCAGCAAAGTAGGATGTAAATAAATCCACAAAAATCATCAACCCTTCTTTATGTTATCAAGAAAATCCAACATTATGGATATGAACATGAGGAAAAAGAAATTACATTCAAAATAGCTACAGAATGTATAAAATGTTTGAACATCTACTTACCAAGACACAGACAGGAATTAACAAGCATTAATTAATTAAAGACAGACTTCAGGAATTGTAATAATCAATTGATTTTGATTGGCTATACCATTATAATAAAAATGCCAACACTACCAAAATTAATTTAAATTTGTAGTAGAGTACCAATCAAACCAAATTTATGTGAAGGGGGCAGCTAGGTGGCTCAGTGGATACTGCACCATCCCTGGAGTCAGGAGGACTTGAGTTCAAATCCAGCCTCAGACATATAGCACTCGAGCTTTGTGACTCTGGGCAAGTCACTTAATCCCAATTGCCCTCACCAAAAACAAAACAAAACAAAACATTATATTAAGCGTCAAAAAGTCAAAAATCTCAAGGAAAATAATGAAGAGGAAAGAAAGAGGTTGAGGTCTCTATACTTTGAAGAAACAATCATCAAAATGATCTGTTAATGGCTATGTTTTTTTTAAAGTTGGTCAGTGGAATCAGTACAAGGATCTACCACAATCCCAAAGGACTTATGATGGAAAATGCCATCCATCTTCAGAGATAACTGATGGACTCTGAGTACAGATTGAAGCATGTTTTATTTCATATTCTTTATTTTTCCTGCTTTTTCTTCAGCAACATGGCTAATGTGGAAATATGCTTTCTATGACTTCACATGCATTATGGGTATCATGTTTCATGCCTACTCAGTGGGTGGGAATGTCTTTGCACATGCAAAATCAAGGTAGTTAGAATTAAAAGAGAAACAGCGAAATAGAAGAAACGTACTACCAGCAAATGTCTTGGATGAAGGATTCATATCCCAGCTATATGGGGAATTGATACAAACACGTAAGAAGTAGGGTCACTCCCGCAAAGGCTGGACAAAAATCACAAGCGAGCAGTTAGGTCTCCAAGGAAGAAAGGAAAGCTATCAACAACCATATAAAAAATGCTCCAGATCACCGAGAAGATGAAAAATCCAAATTTAAACAATTCTGAGGTTCCATCTCATACCCATCAGACTGGCTGTATGACTAAAAAGAGAATGGCAGTTACTGGACAGATTGGAGGAGTAAAGAAACAAGAATGTTGGTGGAGGAACTGTGAGTTGGTACAGCCATTCTGTGTTTTTTCAGACACGACAAATGGGTGGATTTGTTTTGTCTGGAATTCTATACAAAAAAGTCACTAAATTATGTGTGTCCTGTGATATAGCAATACTGCTACTAGACATATACTCCAAAGAATTCTCAATACAGAAGGGAAGTAGTCATATGTGCAAAAATATTCATTGAAGTATTTGTTTTTGTTTTTGTTGTAGAAAAAAAAACTGGAAAGAAATTGGGTGCCCGCCTATTGGGAAATGACTGAATAAAGTATGTTACATGAAGGTAATAGAATATATAAGAAATAATGAGAAATAATAAAAGGGATGGATTCAGAGAAACCTGGGGGAGAATTCTCTCAAGTCACAAAGAGTATAGGGAGCATTAGAACCATTTTTAGGTGATTAAACCATTGTAAAGCAAAACCTTTTTTAAAGCCTTAAAGAACTGTGATCAATGCAATGAATAATCATTGCATGTTCCTCTCCTTCTGGCAGGGGTGTGATGGGCCAGGAGTTCAGGGTGAGATGTATTTTTTCAGGCATGACAAATGAATGGATTTCTTTTGCTTGAGTATACATATTTATCGAGTATATATAGTTCTTAAAAAGGAAGGGTATTCTTTGGATCAGGGTAGTGGCAAGAGAAGTAATGAAACAGATACCAAAAGAAAAAAAAAAAAGAATATCAGTGAAATACCTAAAAATACACAGGTCAGAGCAGAAGGGAATATGGACAAGCTAGGCAATGTGAATGTCATCCTATTAAAATTTAATGTGTAATTAAAAAAATAAGTGACATGTCACATTCTTGCTTTCACATACACTCCTTTCTCCCATATTTGTATATAAGAAGGTTCATGTTCATTAAGTTCATAATTTTAAAAAAAAATTTAGGGAGAGAAAAAGGTTATTAGAGAGAATGGCTGCTACACATCATGAAAAAGTCAAGGGGAAATTAGCTTTTAGCAGAGGATCAAAAGCCGAGCACATGACTCCTTCCTGAAATAGGCTGCATGTACCGCCCTCTTGTGGTCACAGATAAAAGTCCCAGATCAGAAGGAGGACAAGTGCTAGCCAGCCTCCTCCTGTACTGGCTCAGCTAGATGTGGCTGTCGATGCCCACAATGAAACAACCTCAGTCTGCCTGTGGACTAAAGGCTCTGCTTTGTCAGCCCCTGAAAACGGAAAAGACGTCCTCAGCCAGGAGAAATGAAGACCATTAGAAGGCTTTCTCAGCACATGGATGGAAGGAGCCACCTCATACGTCAAGGGCTTCCTCCCCTGGAATGCCCAGAATCAAGAAGGACAGTTCTGCGACTTGTACTTTGCATCCCTGGCTTCCTTCAAAGCACAGTGTCACCTCCTCCAGGAGGTGCTTCCAGATGTTCACCCTGTCGGAATGTTTTTTCATTGCCCTGTATATAATTTGAATTTATGCATATGTTTATATAGAAATAGGGAAATCCATATTAATATGTGGTAGAGGGGACAGAGTACTGGGCCTGTGTTCAAATCCAGCCTCAGACACTTCCCATCTGGTTGACTCTGGGCAAGACACTTAACTCCCTCCTGCCTCCGTTTCACTGGATGAGAATAGCACCTACCTTGCAAGGTTGCTGTGAGGATCAAATGAAATAATACTTGTAAATCACTTTGAAGACCTTAAAGCACTATAGAAATGCTAACTCTAATTGTTAACATGATTTTGTTGGTTGACAGTTGTCCTTCATTCTCAAAAAGGACCCAAATGACACCACTATGTTGGGGTCAAGTTATAGTGTGTCCAAGTGTGGCTGAGCAGACCAATGTGAGCTCAGAAGGCTCTACCACAGGTCGGGCACAAATAGTTCATGTGAACATTTGGGGTGGATTCTCTAAATCTGCGCATCTCACATTTCTGTTGAGCTACTTCAATTCTGCTTTGCTTATAGAGCCCTCTGATGAGGGCACACCATGCTGAGCACTCCTGTGCCAGTGTCTGCCATGTCACACAATCAATTCCAAAGTTCTGAAGAGAGACCTTGAAAGTCTCCTCATATTGCTTCTTCTGACCACTACATGAGCAGTTGCCCTGTGTGAGTTCTCCACAAAAATAGTCTTTTACGCAAATGAATGTTTGGCATTTGAACAACATGACCAGCCCATCAGAGTTGTACTCTGCAATAGAGTTTGAATGCTTGGCAGTTTAGCTCAAGAAAGGACCTCAGTGTATAGTATTTTATCCTACCAGGTGATCTTCAGAATCTTTCTAGGATGATTCCGATGGAAGTGATTCAGTTTCCTGGCATGCATTGGTATACTGTACAGGTTTCACAGGCATACAGCAAAGAGGTCAGCACAACAGCTCTGTAGACCGTCACTTTGGTAGTCAGTCTAATGCCTCCTCTCCCACACTTTCCTTCAGAGACTCCCAAACAGTGACCTAGCTCCGGCAATGCATTCCTCAACCTTATCATCACTGTGTACATCCCTGGAAAGTACACTACCAAGGTAAGTGAACTTATCCACAGCATTCAGAACTTCACCATTTGCTGTAACTGATGTTTCCATGTATGTATGTGGTGCTGGCTGGTGGAGCACCTATGTTTTCTTGCTGTTAATTGTTAGGCCAAAATTAGCACAGGCAGCAGAGAATCGATCCATGCTTTGTTGCATCTCAGCCTCAGAGGCTGCACTGAGCCCACAATCATCTGCAAACAGAAAACCCTGCACCAACGCTCCCTCCACTTTAGTGTTGATTTTTGATTAATATCATATAACATTATAATATAAAATATATTATTATATAGTGTTATATTATACTATGTATGATGTCATACATAATAAACAATATGATATGTTAATATGCCATTGAATCCTAAATTAAGAGGTGGAAGGGACCTTTCAGATTGTCCAGTCCAACCCTCTCCCACACTTACACATTTTTAAGATAAAGAAACTGAAGGCCAGGAAGGAGAAGGGTTGCCCAGGGCCCAGGGATCTTGTGCCCCTGGTGTGATACAGACACCTTGAGGCCAGATGCCACTTCACATCTGGTTTCCTGTCATGCTCAGTGCCAGCTGCAAAGCCTCACATGGACAAAGTGCTTGACCAATATTTATTGGATTGTATTTAATTCATTTAATCAAATTGATTTGAATTTTGAGCTCAGAACCAGGAGTGAGGAATCACAGAATTCATGAGAGGGAGACTGAGGGCTGATGAGATGAAGCAACTTGCCTGAGGTTCCAGAATCACAAATGTGCTATTTGTATCCCTCCCCTCAGTCTAAGATTTTCAATTTTAAAAACAAGTGGTAGGATTTGAACTAGCTGAATACTGAGGTCCTTCCCAACTCTAAAGATTCTATAATTCTGCAGATGGATTTAAATAAAAATGCAAGAAGTAGCTGCTAGTACAATGTGTGTATGTGTGTGTGTGTGTGTGTGTGTGTGTGTGTGTGTGCGCGCGCGGCTGTTTTTTTCTTGTGACAGAAAGCAGTGTCATCGTAATTCAGCTAACCCGCAGAAGGCTAAAGGCCAAGTAATTTGCTAACTGGGTCTTAGGAATTCTTGTGCAGGCATTATACCAATCAGTTCCTTCCCTGTGCCCTATTGAGGATTTGGGTATCTATATTCTCTGTTCAGCCTAGCCATTACCCCAAGCCATTATAAATTAGGGTGCTGATTCCTGTTTCCTAAGGACTTAAAAGCAGATGTGTTCATATCATTAAGCTTTCTTTCAGAGGTAATTCCCACGTAAGTTTTTGCCAAAATCCCCAAAGGAAAATCAAACTCTATGAAGTGTAGCTGCCATTACTTGGCTACAGGAAAATCCCTTCACTGGTGAAGTAGATTCAGATCAATATCAAGTCTGTCCTTCATCATGGTCTTGGCCCGGCAGCCTGGTTTTTTTTTTTTAACAAAATTTTCTTCATGTATTCCTGATCTCTTTCCTCAGCATACAGTTTCTAATCTGCCCCTTCATTCACATCCTGAGCATTATTGTAACACAAAATTTTGCTTGTCTCTTCCTAATCTTCCTCCCTTTGCTTCACTTTCAGTGCTTCCTGGAACTTGGGTCAGCATGGATTTGACAGCAGTAGCATTCATACACATGCAACCCCACCCTCAGAATGCATTTTCAACTCTAATTTGGGGAAACTGAATTTAAGTTCCCTGTACCCCAGCAATCTATCCTTGCTACCATGCTCTGAGTGAGCAGTTCTCTTGAAACAATTCTGCAATGGGACAAAAAGTCTTGGAAATAGAATTCTCTTTCCATTCTTTGACTTTCTCATTTTTTCCCCACCGTTAAATCCCAGATAACACCTGACATGCTTCCCTTCCTCTAGGAAGGGTGGCCACCCATTGGGAAAAAACAAGGAAGGGAAAAATAAATTTTAAACCCTTTTCAGTACTTACTTAACAAAAGTTGAGCTGCATAGCTTCAGGAAACCAGACAGAGGAATGCCAGAAATCCATCTTTTCTTTGTAAGCGATGTTAGTCCTCCGATTCTTCGGTCTCATGTACTGGAAGAGTTTCAGATCCTTTTCTCCACCAGGCAAGATGTGATTAGGTTAAGAAAAGTTCAGGAAGACTCTTTGCCCAGCAAGGAAACCTGGTGGAAGTCAAGTCAACTTCAGGAAGACACCCCAAGTATGAAATCTGACACTGTCTCCAATCCCATTTTTTATCAACTCCACTGAATTGTTCCACAAAAATGAAAGCATGGGAAACAAACGTTTCTGTAGTGAGTTGATGGGATGTGAAGAGAAAAAATAAGGATAGACCTTACATACTTCAGAGGCGCTGTGTAGTTGTACCTATGTCTCAAAAGAGGGTTGAGTGATCTAAATGAGATGTCTGTCTTTTGGGATGTGAAATGACAAACACTCATTTTACAAACTTTCAAATCATCTGCCTAAAGAAAATCTACCACTGCATTCAGACCTCTGAAAATTCACTGTTTGTTTTTTAAATTGAGATATATGTTCCAGCAGCAACAGCCTATTTCCTGATCATCTGAATGTGGGCCTTTTTGTAGTTAACAGAATTAGGTCTAATTACCTTTTCATTTTCGTTCATTTGGCCGCTCACAAAACGGAAGGGCTGCCAGACTGCGGCTCTAATGTCGTTCTTTCGAGCACTTCACCGGCAACTAAAAATATTAAGGTGAACAGGAGGCAGACGGGACTGCCGATAAATTTAAAAATGAAGCGGAACGAAAAAGACAAAATCAGTTTTAAGACTGCTGAGAAAAAAGCTTCAAGGACTTTTCAATTAAATTACTTTCTTTTCTCCTTTGGTGTTGTGTGTGGGGGGGGAGATTTGAAATCCTGCAGCCTCCTCTCTTGGTCTTTTAATGTATTAAATAAGATGTCTGATTCCGAGCTTGGCCAGAGGGATTTAAAATTTAGCATTCTGTGACTTGGGGGACCTTGCTGTGGATTTCTATCCTTTGCCCTTGAAAAGTCATCTGGCTATGCATATTTCTCTAGGAAGGAATCCCCGTCTTTCTGAACATTCCCTCCCAGGGCAGAGCATAAAGCAAACGAACAATTTGCCTTCCCTGGTTTCTAAAAAACATCTTGCAGTCGGTGAAGAGCCCCCAGCCGCTTTTCTGGGATTTGCCTACACTTACCGGAGAACAAATTTTTACTCCTCCTTAATCCTTTTTTTTCTTTAAGTCAAGTAAAACAAAAACCTGCCTTAAAATAGCATCAATAACAACCCCAAAAATGTATTTTATCTTTCCAAATAAGAAATCTTCTTTGTCTTATTCTCCAGCACACTTCTTTCTATAAAACACAGTTACTTATACACAATCAGTATGTGCTTTTAATAGTTCATAAAAATGTTTCCTTGGTGTCCTGGGCCCAGACAACTCCTGTCGTTGGGAGGGCAAATGGTTCTTGAAAGAAATTTTGGGGTTTTATGTTTGTTTTATTTTGTTTTGTTTATTATCTTGCCCTGAGATAGGCTGGCACGGTGGACAGAAAGCTGGGATTGGAGTCAGAGGCCTTGAATTCAGATGCTGCACCTTCCACTTGCCTCCTTTATGACCCTGAGTAAGGGGTTTAATCTCTCTGGGTTTTAGTAACCTCATCTATCAAATGAGGAGGCTGGACGGCATCGTGTCTGAAGTCCCTTCAAACTCTGAATAGATGGATCGATAATAAGTCTGGTTGAGAAACCTGGCTCATCTCCGAGCCCTGAGCAGGAATATTTGTGATTTTTCTTGGTTTATGAACAAAAGGTCAATATCGTCTGAGGGTAGGCTTTCCTCAGGGAAGTCACTTTATACTGGAATTATCCCTGCTGGGGAATGTGTTATTCCTATCTGAACGTGTTAGATAGACTAGGAATTAGGATGTACCCAAATAGAGGATTTTTTGAGTTAGGAGGGGGCCTTAGAGATGACCTTGTTCCACTTTGACCCAACCCAGGTGCAAAACCCACCCTCATCCTCCCAAGCACGGCACTTGAGGCCCTATTCCTGCTACTTTCATTTTCCATATAGGGCACAGTTTCCCGGGACTATCATATCTGCACAATTAAGAATTCTTTTCTGACTTGCAGTTTGTTTTTATTTTTTTAGTATGAGTTATTTTTTCAATCAGTCAAGCATTTCAGATGGAGGCACAGGGAGACTCACTTTTTATTCTTCCTTGGTATTTTGGTAGCAACTGGTGACTTCCTTGCACGGAGCTGCGTCTCCCCAAGGCCAAAGAGCTCCTTTCCTCCAGATCAGTCCAGGAATGGTGTGCCTCTCCTCATTCAATCCAGCCCCCTCCCAGGGTATCCGAAAGGCCTGCAAGGCACCCGTCGGTGAGCAAGAGAAAAAAGTGCACGCCGTTGTCTGATTTTCTGGAGGCGCTCAACCTCTGGGCTGGCGTCCAAGGGTAAGGCCTCCTGTCCTGTGCTGTTCCTGCTTGTAAAAGCGTGCAGGTGTGGCGTGGGTCATCAGGCTCCCCCTACGAACTGGAGCAGCCGCTCAAACATAATTAATTAGCTCGGTTACCACTTGCTTCTTTAATCAGACCCTTCCACCTCACTGCTTAATATGGTGTGAAAGCTCTGAGCAAACAAGAAAGTTGTTGTTTTTCCTCCCAGTCGGATTTTTTTTGGGGGGCACAGTTTAATTTTAAGGCGGGGGGGCGGGGGGAAGGACTTTCTTGTTTGCTCATAGCCTAACGAGATCGGTATGCCTGGAGCGTCAGTGTGAAGTTTAAAACTAAGGAGAGACCGAATGATCTGGAGAAGGAAAATGAGTCAAAGTAACGGGATCCCACGCACTGGATAAGACCACACAGGGACCTCAGATTCCAGCTCCGGCACTTTACAAGTGAAAAAACTGATGCCGGGAGTGAGGAAGGGACTTGCTCACACGGGGAGTGGCAAAGGCAGGATTTGAACTCAGGTGCATCCGACACTGCATCCAGAGCGCTTTCTACCAGGCCAGGAGGCCTTCATGTTACAGCTGAGAAAACAGAGGCCCAGGCCTCTGGATGGACTTGGGAAAGGTCACAGCAAATAAGCAGACAGCATTTGCTTCCAAAGCCAAAAGCCCTGTATCTTCCAGCCAGTTTCATTCTGATCCGCGGCAACCTCAGACTCAATCCTACCCATATTTACTGCAGCTTAAAAAAAAACAAATCAATAAGAATTAATTAAGCACCTACTATGTGCCAGGCAGGATGCCAGGCCCTGGGATACAAAGATCAGCCCCAAGGAACATATTCTATCAGTAACGTGTGTGTTTACAATAAATGTATACATATATATGGGGGGGTTATATATATATATATATATGTATATGTATATACGTGTGTATGTGTGACATATATGCATGTGTGTATATACATGTATATAAGGCATTTTTTTTAGGGAAGAGGGATTAGTAACTGGGGGGATCAGGAAAGATTCTGCATAGAAGAGTCAAGTGAAAGGGTAAGGTGGGGTACAGGATGAGAGAAATGGGTTCACACTAAGACAGATTATTTGGTCACAGAAAGGCTCATGTGTCACCTCCTATGGGAAGCCTTCCTGATTTCCCTACATATTAGCATTTTCCTTGGAAAATGATTTTCTGTTCATTGTATATATAGTTTGTCAATTACATTGATTTCCTTGTGACAAGTGTGGTTCCCCTCTAGTAGAATGTAACCTTCTTGAGAGCAGGAACTGTTTCATCTTCGCCTTTTATCCCCAGAACAATAAATATTCACTGAATTGAATTGAATTGAATTGAATTGAATTGAATCAAGCTAAACTGAATGTGCTCACTGTCTTACCTTCCAAATTTAGAGTTGTTTATTTCTCTGGGAACTTTAGCTTCCTTCTAACTTTTCCAACAGCTTCTCTCAGGCTCTGGGCAGGGGGCACCATGCATTTAACCTGGATCTAAGTTTAGACAGAAATCCAGGTGAAATGTCAAATCACATTGGACTCCCGACTTCTCCATCAACAGATGCCTGACTCATTTAGAAGCCCAGTGGACTGGGCCCAACCAGGGTGGAAGAAGCTGTTGCCAGAGCAAACCCTTCCTTGTGGGATCCTCTCATGCATATGCTAAACCTCCCCTCACCCCACCTCCCAATCCCATTGCAGCCTGTTTATTGATACAGAATGTGGAGGACATGACTGACAAGCCTTTGCTTATAATCCAGTCACTTTCTGTGCAAATTTAGAGGAATGTGGCATGCCAGATTTTAAAGGCAAGAGGGCTGTTGTCATGGTGACGGCACATGGGGGCTGGGGAGGGATGGGGGGATTCTCCAGGGACCTGGAAGGCCAACAGAATGTTAAGCATCTGCAACTTGAGGGAAGCAAAAAAAAAATTTTTTAAAGATAACCCCACAAACCCTGCCAAGTCTTGTCTCCAAGTTTGAAACACACTTAAGTGCTGTTCTATGGTTTGCAAATAAACACACAGACCTGTACCAAATAGGAGAGGGTGAGGGTGGCACATATGCCAGCTGCCTCAGTGGAGGGAAGACCACAAAGAGTAATAATCATAGCAACAATCATAGGATTAAGAAGTATTAAGAAGAAAAATAAAAATGCACAAAGTTCTGAGCCAAGGTATTTCAGAGATGTTGCATTTGGGCCCCTTAACAACCACATGAGGTAGGTGCAGATGAGACCTCTGAGGCCAAGGTTAGGTGACTAGCACAGGGTCACTCGCCTAGTAAATGTTTGAAGCAAGATTCAAATTCAAGGCTGTTTCCTCCTGCTCTCCCCAGCCCCTGCAAGGCTTAGCTGGCGGGGGGGGGGGGGGGGGGGCTCCCCCAGAGTACTGGCATTGACATTGCACGTATCTGTGCACACATATGCTGTGTCCCTCCTGCCTCCCCAGCCAAAGATGCAAGTTCCTCTGGGGCAGGGACTGCTTTCAGTTTTGTTCTTGTGTCCCCTCTGCCTAACACGGTGCTACAGTGCCAATCACAGACATTTCATACAAGCCCCACAACCAGAGTGGAAGCACAACTCTTAGTACCAATGCTGAAGATGGAAGGCCTTTTGTGGAAGGGACCCACAGCCCAGAAACAAGTGCCCAGCCCTAGGCCTGGCATGTGACTTGGGGTCAAACTCTCCAAGTCCTTGGTGCTTTTACTTTTCCCCAAGTAGAGAAGGAGGCACAGTCCCAGGGGAGTGTTTGCCATTCTCGCTGTGTTTATGGGCACAAATCAACTTGACTGTTTCCACCATTCAAATAAGTCCCCTTATGCAGTGAAGAAAGTTCAGGAAATGGGTCCAAGTGCCCCTGGACAGCCAAGATGGTTTGGAAGGGCAGATACTGAGTAAATCATCCCAGAACCTCAGACAGAAAACAGCAGGACTGAAGTAGCCCCCAACCACGTTCACTGCTTTTGTAAACCTGGGGAGGGCCAAACAATGATGGTCCCTGTGCATGTCACTGTGTGTGAGAAATAGCCAGTGTGAAGACTCCATAGAGGCTGAGGACTTTGTGAAGTGATACAAAGGGAAGTGAGCAGAACCAGGAGAAGTCATCTACACAAAGACAACAATGATGAATGGATGGATGGAGGGATGGATGGAGGGATGGATGGAGGGATGGCTGGATGGATGGATGGATGGATGGATGGATGGATGGATGGATGGTGGATGGATGGATGGATGGATGGATGGATGGATGGATGGATGGATGGATGGATGGATGGATGGGTGGGTGGATGGTGGCATCAGAAATGCAGAGAACAACCACAAAACAACAGAAAAAGGATACCGCAGGCTTGGCCCAAAACAAAGCTCCAAGCAAACCCTTTCCTTCTCTCTGCTCCCTGAGCCAGTGGAAGGCCCTCAGCTATGTAACATTGCATTTAATGACAGATTTGTTTTCCCTGATATACTGATTGGTTTTGCTGGTCTTCTTTTTCTTAATTTTTTTATAAAGTTCTTTGTTCTTGAGATGTAGTTCCCTGGGAGGGGGGAGGGAAGGGGAGCAAAGGAAAATGTAGGTGAGGTAAACACCAAGCATAATGTGTATGCTCTGGTCCACTGTTCCAGAGCCAGGCAGTCACATCTATCAGCCCTCAGGGTCCAAGGGTACCAGAAGAGGCTGAAGGAGGGTGTTCTCTCTTCTTTACTGCTGTCTCCCACAGCCCCACCAATTGCTTGCTCCTCATTGTTAGAAGACCGTGACTAGTACCCCAGTTCAATTACTAGTACCCCAACTTAACATTAGGATCTTTAATTCAAAGGCACAGCAAGAAGAAGATCTCCCCAACATCTCAGGGATGGACTCTCCCTCACACCCCTCAGCCTCTTAGGACTTACTTCAGCTCCTACTTGTCAGTGGTCCCACTAAGTTCACGTCCAGATGTGGCTTGATGGTTGCATTGGTCCTAGCCTCAAAGGTTGTTGGCCTGGGGTTCCCAAGGTTATATCCGAAGGTCACTCCCATGACCCAAAGGTCATGGAAAACCATGCTGGCTATAGAAGCTTGGAATGCTGAAACCCAGGAACCCTCCAAACATTTTGAAGCTCATGGGGTCAGTGATGCCAATCTCCTTTACCTAAAAGGCCCAGACTGAGGCTCCATCACAGGCCATGGCTTCAGAGCAGAGGCATCCTTTCACCTTCCTCCCTTACAGCATTGCCTCAGTGGTGAAAGGAGTCGCTAGATGAAGCAGGGAGAACTGAGGCAGGAGAGCGGTCACTGATGCTGATGGGATTTGAATGTCTCTGCAGTCACTCCAGAGCTTCTTCTTTACCATGTGGTTACCAAACCAAAGCCACTTACAGAATACCCACCCACACTCCCCAATCTCTCTCCAAGACTCTTCTTTTAATTAACATCATGGTTCTCCCTGGAGCAGAGTTTCCAGCATCTTCCACGTGGGCAGTTTGTATCCATCAGCTACAAAGGCTGAGGCGGTTGAGATTTTGCATGTACCAGACCCTGAATGAAAAAAATTCAATGAAAAAATTATTTTCAAGAACAAGTTTCTCAGAGAAGGTCATCAGAAAGTCATCATGATAACACCCTTCCTGGAAAGGGCAATTAATTTCCTTACACATACAATCACCATTTGTGTAACTTTCCATTCCAAAACACCCATCACTAGCCACCATTCTCCTATATGGATTGTTTCCCATTGGAATGTAAGTTTATTGAAGGCAAGGACTGTTAGGTTAATATTCCCAAGCACAGTGCTTTGACCCTCTGAGCCTCAGTTTCCTCATCTGTAAAATGAAGGTGATAGGGCTGGATGACCAATATGGTCATTTCCAGTGTGAATATTCTGATTCCCTGATGGCAAAGGCCCAATTTAACATTTGAAAAAATGTGTCAGTGGCTTGCCTTGGCATCTCATAAATACCCCCAAAGCCTCCTGTATCTACTAGGCTACACTGCCTTTTCAAAAAAACTAATCTTTCTAAAATGCTGGCCACATCACCAAGCTATGAAATCATCTGGTCCTGCTTTAGGAGAGAAAAAATCCTATCATCAACAACATCGAACATTTCGTCAACAGATACTTATTTCTTGACCCTTTAAATGAATTCTGTTTTAGTATCCACTTTCCATTTTTCTATTTTAGAAGCATTTTAACATTGTAGGCCACCTCAAATGTTTTTGGGAAGCAGGAGGGAGAGAAATAATCATTAGAATACTGAGTAATAAGATCTCAGCCAGTCCTGAAAGACAGCATCAATTCAATGACCGTGGGCTCAACATCTACAAAGGGTAAGAAGGGCTCATTCCCAGAGCTGGGGCCAAGCGATACCTTCAGGACTCTGAGCCCCTAATTTTACAGAGAGGGAAACAGAGGCCCAAAGAGATTCGGTCCTCAACTGAGTCAGGACAAGGTGCCCATCTCCTTGGTCCCAGGACAGTGCCTCTGTCCGTGCTGTGTCATGTGAGACATCAGCTCCCTTCTGCAGGACAACCAATTAAAAAGACTTTTCATCACCTTGAAGTAGGAACCCTTGAGTCATCACTGCTGACAGAAAGCAGTCAAAAGGTATCTGTGCATCCATCACGCGTGACCAGAAACAGGCTTACCTCGAATTCCCATGTGTAGAGCTGAGCCAGGTAAGGATCATCCCCCGGGGGCCACCCTCATACAATCAATCTCCT